CTCAGATTGAGGAACCCAAGAGGGATCTGAGACACTTGGAGATTCCTGCCTTTGGGCAGAGATCAGGGGTTGGTTGGGCAACTTCCAGGAGTCGTGAACAGACTGTTATAGGACTCAGTATAAGTGACTGCCATTTCCCTCTCAGAAGAGTGGTTTTTTTTCTTTTTTTAATGAAAAAGAGGGAATCTGGAGAGATAGTACTAGGGTCAAGGTGCATGCCTTGCATATGCCCAATCCCATTTTGATCCCTGGCACCACATTGTCACCTGAGCACCACCAGGGGCCACCCTGGAAGGCAACTATGCTAGCCACTATACCACCAACGCTGCTACCAGGGGCAACCCTGGAGACCTGAGTACTTCTGGGTATCCTGGGTTGTCCCTGGCACTGCAGGGTCTAAGCAGAACTATAGCCTCCAGCCCATATGTTGAACTGGATCCCAGTTAACTAAGAATTGTTAGGAGACACCCCACCACCTAAGCAAAAAAAAAAAAAAAAAAAGAAAGAAAGAAAGAAAGAAAAGGACAGCAGTGGAGTCCAGCCTTGCCCAAGAGAAAATCATCCCTCAATGCAGACATTCCAGGCCTTTGCCCACTCCACGTCCCCATCTCACAGAATTCCAGTTAGGTGCTGGCTTCCATGTGCCCAGTTCTTCCACTGTTGCAGGGGTATTTTGCTGGGTTTTTTCCCCAGCCTTCCTTGCTTCTAAAAGTGACATGAAGGATGGCCCAGGGCTCTTAGCTAATAAAGTCCATTGGTTAGTCTGGAATATAATTCTGCGTGGTGCCATTTTGAATAAGTGTGGAGGAGAAGAGCCATGTTAACAAAGCAGATAGGATGTTCCCATCTGGAATCTGGTGCCAGGGCAGAACCTACTGGATAGGGACACTTTAATACAGAATTGTCACGTGAATTAGAGAAGGATGCTAGAGTCCTGGTCTTGGGAGGACTATTTCCCAGACCAATCTGTTTGGGACACAAGATTGGAACCGCTGGGAGACAGTGGAGGTCCCACCACCAAACAAACCAGCTCTTCCCTGAGATGGCCTGCAAGGAGACCACTCAAGGAGGGTGGCCACGGGTATCCTCAGAGGGTTGAGTGTAGAAAAAAACGTTATCCAGAAGCAGGAGGAAGAGGAGATTCCCATCTTCCACTCTGTTAAGCCACAGGGAAAGGGAAACAAGATCTCTCCAAAACAGAGATAAGTGAATCTCAACCAGGGCACTTTTGGAACTTCCTGTCCCTGGTGCCTACTAAAGGCTCCCATGACAAATGCATGGCAAATGTTCCCATGACCAAAGGCTGAGCAACAGGACCTAGAATAATGGTGAAGCTGGATGGCTTTGGGAGCATCTATGATGTGGGGAGCAGGAAGTATCTGGATTGATTTCTTGGGAACCATCCTTGGATGTGCCACACTGACACTCAAAGGAGCATGATGGGGCTGGCAGCCCCATTATAAATGATAACAGGCAGAAGATCTTCCAGGTCTGACCTGAGAACAAGTTTTCTGGGCCTGGGTTGGTTTAGGAGCATAGTGGGTGAGGGTTGTTGGCCTAGAACAGCTCTAGACTCAAGTCCTGGCTATTGGAAATCTCATGACTTGGCTTGACTCCTACGGTTGGTGTTTTGAAATCTGCGGAACTTAGAAACCAGGGGTAACAAAATGTCTAAAAGTCCACCTGGGCTCTTGCTCCCCACAAGAGCTTGTTTCTGATTGTCCTCCTGCCCACATGACAAGGAAGTTATGTGTATATGTGGGGGCACTGGGGAGCAGCATGCATTACCCTTCACAAATGTCATCACTAAATATGGTTACAGGTAAAGGGCCCAATTCTATTCTTTTATGCCATTTAGCTGTAGGAAAGAAATCAAGGGGGGACGGAAGAAGAAGAGAAAGAGAAGTAATGGATGATCAGAGGTCAGAGCTTCAATTATACTGGGGATGTGGGAGAGTGGTATAGCCATATATCCAAATACTGACTCAACAACATTGAAAACGTGAGACCTAAGTTGCAAGCACTGGAAATTTGTAATGTTCCTGTCAAGCTGACAGGTGGGTTTTCGGGGTGGACGGTGGTAAGGGTAGAGTATGGCAAAAACTGGTGGAAGGAATTTGACACTAGTGGTGAGATTGGTGTGGAAATATTACATGCCTAAAACTCAACTATCAATAACTTTGTAAATCTCAGTTCTTAAATAAAAAATACTTTTTTTAATGTCAAGAATTACTTTTGCTTCTTAGCAACCCTTCCATCCATTCTTCTCTTTATATTCCAACCTGTGGGGTCATAAAGAAACTTATTCTGCCAATCTCTGTACCAGTAAAGTCTTTGTATTATACATGACCCCAAAGAATGAAGGCAAAGGTCGTAGGTGGCAATTTTTTTAATTTTAAAGATTTGTTTGCTTGTTTCTTTCTAGAGAGAACTAGAGTGTCTTTTGCAATGAAAACATATTCTGTATCTTGTTTCCTTCTTTTTTCTTTGCTTTTCTTTTCTTTACAATACAGAAATGACTTGATTTTGTTTTTCAAACTTACAATTCTGTGCTTTTTCTAACAACCTGTAATTTTTACAGTTGGGTCAAAAATTCTAACCTGGACATGGGGGGTGGGGAATGTCACAAACCATGGCTGCAGTCAGCCCCCTGCTTGGTTCAATAAAGTTTTGTTGGCACTCAGCTTTACTTCTTTGTTTGTGACAGCCCTTAGCTGCTTTAGTGCAACAATGGCGGAGCTGAGTCAGTGTGACCAAAGAACTAGCAATAGTCAAAAAATGTTCTCTATCTACAAAAGGGAATGCCCTGCCACAGAGGCAGGATGGGATGTGGGGGATGGGGGGGTGGGAGGGATACTGGGATCCGTGGTGGTGGGAAATGGGCACTGGTGGAGGGATGGGTATTTGATCATTGTATAATTGAAACCCAAGCACAAAAATTTGTAAGTCTGCAACTGTACCTCATGATGTCTCACTAATAAAAATTTTTAAAAAATGTTCTCTATCTACCCCTTTGTAGAAAAAATAATTTTTCTAACCCCTGTTATGCTCCACAGTCTAATATACCTTTAAAATTACCTTACCTGAGGTCATCTATCCTTAGTGTGTGTGAGTGTGTGTGTGTGTATGTGGGGTTGGTAGGTGTATGGCAAGAATTTGGGTGAATTCTTCTCCATATCAATCTCCATATTAACCAATATTAATCTGCTCCCACAAAGTACCAAATCTCACTAATCTCTATTCAACCTGCTAAGGCCAGGCTTTCCCATATCTGTCCCAAACAGGGGGCTCAGCCCTGTCTCTGGATTTTCCTCCAGCAACACAATAGTACAGTTATAGAATTCTTGACTTTTAGTTTGAGGAGATGAAAATAAGTGAGACAACTTTCTATTGGGGTCTAGATTCGTTTTCAGAAAAAAATATCATCTCTGGCAAAACCCAAGTGTGATAGTTTGACAGTCCCAAAGACCTGATTTGTGTTTAAAATGTTCCCAGCAATTTTCAGACTGTTCCCAACAATTCCCAAACTGTTCATAGTCACCCAGTATGCCAAGTACTAACCCAGATTGGCTCTTTCTCCTGAACAGGGTGGAGCCAACTTGAGTTCCCTGTTTTTCAGCTTTTCATTTAAGTATGACCTGTAGATGGACATAGCTTCCTTCACTGGAAGACCCACACAAAGAAGGGGACGCCAAGTTTTTTCTTCATTATCACTTGAATTTATTGCAGTGTTCTGTCGTGCCTACCTGCCTCTGGCTAACACTTTCATTATGCCTCGGGAGAGCTCCCAAATGTTAGTGTTTGCTTTGCTCTTCCCCAAATCCAAAGAACATGGGGCAAAACAGACATACTTTGGAATTCATTCCCTAGGAGAAGCCTGAGTTAACCGTGTGCAAGGCAAGTATATTACCTGCTGTATTATTGCTCTGGCCCCTCTATGACTTTTTGCTTGTTTGTTTGTTTGTGAGCCACACCTGGCAGTGCTCAGGGTTTATTCCTGGCCCTGTGTTCAAGGTTCACTGCTGGTAGACCATATGAGTTGCCAGAAATGGTATACCTGGGTGGCCACTGGCAAGGCAAACTCTCTACCAGCAATACTATTGCTCCAGTTCCTTCTTTATGACTTTAAGACAAACACATACACACACACACACACACACACACACACACACACACACACACACACACACATACATGCACACCAGGATTAGCACAAAAACAAGCTCTAAAAATGTCAAGGCTCTTCCTAAAGAGCCGTGAATATAATCTCAGGGCTAGGATGAAAGAGACGTTACTGGGGCCTGCTCGAGGCAATCGACGATTAACAGGATGATGAAATGAAATGAAATGAAAAAAATGTCAAATTATTGTATGATGATATATATTTACCGTGTATCTGGGAGACTTTGATGTCTAGGGGAGTTGGAATTCTGAGTTAGCCAATGGGGTCTGTGGCACTGAAACCAAGGAGGAAGTCAACAGGTCCTATCTAGGGATGGCATTTTATTTTGTGAAATGGCATAAATCCTGTAAACTAGCTCTAGACTACTGAGTAAATAACTCTCTCTACCCATTCCCTAAGGAATATTTTGATTAATAAAGAACTTGGCAGGGGGTGATATTCTATCTTAAAACCCAAGCAACAAAGTTCAATCATAAAATTCAGGGGTGAGAGCACAAGTAAAGCTCAAATTGTGGGGATCAGGTCTTCCAACCGTCACGTTTCTCCACTTTGAAATTGATCATTGTGGAAAAAATCATAGCTGAGCCCCTAGAGAAGGGAATTTGAGCACTTGGTTACACTGTGAGAAGGTTGAATTTCCTTTAGAACTAAATGAAGGCATCTGTTTTGTTTAAATTAAGGGTCTGTAAGTACCAGCCAGGGACTAAGTTGACAGCTACTTCTCTAATAAACTAATAAATCACGGGGATGGTTAAGGAAGTAAGAAACACCACATTCTTGCTTTGTTCCACCAATTAAGCAATAAGCCATCTGGGTCCTTTTGTTAATTACTATAGAACACAACTTATACCATTGAATTCAGCCTTTTATTTAATTATATTAATTTATTTCATCAACTTCAAATACCCATAATGCCAATAATAAAGTTTACTTAAAAAAATACAGGTCTTGTTTAAAAATTTTAACCACTTAATAAACTTTGCCAGGTTGCCATCTGAAAATTTTTTATCTGTTTCAGCCTCTTTATGGGAGGGGAATTTGTTTTAAATTGACATGAACAAAGAAGGTGATAGCTGAAATCTCCTCTATGGGATGATAAATCTATCTAGACAAGCACTGTCCAGTGAACTATTTGCAGATAGGAATGCTCTCTAGCTGTGCTTTCCAAATTAGTAGACACTAGCCATCTGTGACAACTGAGCACTTGAAATATGACTGGTACGAAGGAGGAGATGATTTTATTTACATTTAATTTTAATGAATTTTGGTTTAAATAGCAACCCACCAAAGGCTCATGGCTACTACTGATGCTTGCATTAAAAGAGTTTAGCAGAAGGAGAAATGTATGAGGCCACTGAATTATACTGGAGGCAAAGGAAAACATAATCGTGAAAGGTAGTCTGGAAACTTACATTTCCTACCTACCTAGTTCTTCTCATTTGAAACACACAGTGTTCTGGACAACCCCCCCTCCAAAAAAAGTTGGCATCTTTGGAGAGAGATTTCTAAGATGCTGAGGTGGGGAAAAAACTTCATCTGAAGGAGAATTAAGCATGAATGGTGTCTTCATTATAGCTCAGTTAGCCCCTCCCAGCAACTCTGATGACCAGGTCAGAGCCAAAAGGAACATTTAGCTCTTCCCTAGTGCTCTCTATTCTGTTCCAAATGTTCTATCTGTGGCACATTTGGGGGTCCAGACAGCTCATATGGACTCAGAGACAGCTTTGTCAGCCTTTATGAATTTTAACACCCAACCTCAATTCCTCCCTGGGAGGATTTTGACTCAGTGTCTGGCATTTTCCCCTTTAGAGTTTGGCCTTTGTGCCATGGATGCTATCTCAGACCCAATTAATGTAATCCCTGTAAGAGAAATTAGTCCACTATTGAACTCAGTCTGAGCTGATCCTCCCTATGCCACCAACTCAAGAGAAATAGATTACATGAGAACCTCGTTGTGGTTAATTAAGCTAGAAAAGGGTCAGTGTAGGATAAATGGAGGTAGACAGTTCTGAGGAATTTTCTCATTAAAGTATCTTACTCCAGGTCAAGTAGATCCATCAGCTGCTAGGCTGGACTGAAGAACTGGGTCAATGTTCTCTTCCCTCTTGACTCCAACTTTTCTCTTCTTCTAGTAGTTTTCTGTCCTTCTGAGCTAAAGCTCAACTTATGAACAGGACGTTCGTCCAAATAAGCCGGATGCAAAGGTTTTGGAGTCCTCCTCACACTTCAAGTCTCATGATTGCCTACTCACATCCAAGTGAAGACCACAGGAGATCTATGGATCAGTTGCATTTACGGATCCTGAAGGTGCTTCCAGAGAATGGTTATGCTTTGTAGTCAGAAATAGAAACAACTGCCAAGTGTTCAATGAAAGAAAAAAAATCCACCAAGTGTCTTCTGTACCATCTGTTCGAATATCTACCATATATCATTGGTCAATGATAAAGGCAATGACACATTGACTATTTGGGGGAAGGTTCACTGTCCATTGTCCTCCCGTTGTTCATCGATTTGCTTGAGCGGGCCCAGTGACGTCTCCATTGGAGACTTTGTTGTTACTGTGTTTGGCGTATCGAGTACATCACAGGTAGCTTGCTAGGCTCTGCTGTGCGGGTGAGATACTCTCGGTAGCTTGCCAGGCTCTCCGAGAGTGGCGGAGGAATCGAACTCGGGTCGGTCATGTTGGCTGCGTGCAAGGCAAACGCCCTACCACTGTGCTATCACTCATAAACAGTCACCCCACCAGTTCTCAATGAATTTAGAGGCAGGATTGGGAGACTCTCTCTATTCCTTCACAGAGCTCCCTTCTCTGCTCTCTCCAACAACACACACTCATAGAAGAGTTGAAGTGAGAGACAGTCAAGCTCTCTAGTCCACCAGGGGTGGAAGTATGAGCGCCAACATTCTCTTCGCCTTCCTAGGGTGACATTCATCGTTCATCCACTGGGTTGATGACATCAAACTGCCACAGCTGGCTGGCTTTCCCGTCACACTGGCGCAAGTACAGATCTTTGTTGTTTTCCTGAGTAATTGCTTCCATGCATTTCCCAGATAGAATGTGGACAATCATTCCATTCTGAAGAGAGAAGTAGAAGAACCACATGAAAACCGTTAGTCCCCTGTGATCAGTCAGCAAACATGGCTATGTCTAAGGTTTATTCTTTTTAGTGTGTTTGTTTGGGGGTTACACCTGGTGATGTTCAGAGGTTACTCTAAGGTTATTCTCTCTTTTTTTTTTTTTTGCATTTTGGGTCACACTCAGTGATTCTCCTGGCTCTGCACTCAGGAATTACTCCTGGCAGTGCTTGGGGGACCATTTGGGATGCTGGGAATTGAACCTGGATCTTCTGCATGCAAGGCAAACACCCTACCCACTATACTATCATTCCGGCCCCTCGGGAATTATTCTTGATGGTGCTCAGGAAACCATATGGGATGCCGGGGATCAAATCCACATTGGCCACACTCAAGACAAGAACCTTACCTACCATACTATCTCTCTGGAACCCCTCTGAGGTTTGCTTTTAAGAGAACAATAGGGGTAGCGTGAACTGACCAAGAATTCTAGTATTTTGGGCTAATGTAAAATGTATTTTAGGTAGCCTACAATTTGTATATTCAAACTCTTGGGGGCATAATTCAGTTATTTTTATTGTAGTTGCATAATTGTGTGATTTCTCAGAGAGTTCTGGTTAGCAGAATGTTAGTGTGTATAGAAAATGTTTACTCTTTTATCATACTGATATTTATTGCTATTGTTGTACTTGCCAAAGTCTACTTTCTAATGAGCCTAATTTAATCCCTGCCTTTTGTTTATCTTGCCATTTACCAACAGTCTGAAGCAAAGAGAAAAATCTCAAAGACACTGAAGGCTTAAGTCAGTCATGTTTGTCAGGGGTTGGCTGTTTCCCTGCTCAAAAGCCACCAGTATTAATATTGAATCTGACTTGCCCTTTCAAGGGACATATGGTTTCTTTACGAAGCATTAAACAACTTTAGTCAGTAATGCTGATAAAAATATTGTTTTCTAGATATAATTCACACACTACTTAATTTTTTATTAAGAACTGTGATTTACAGTTATCGATAGTTGAGTTTTAGTATTTCAACACCAATCCCACCACCAGTGTCAACTTCTCTCTACCAATGTTCCCATATTCCCTTCCCACCCTAAACTTCATCCCATCTCCACCTGTCGACTTGACAGGCATAATACAAAGTTCCACTGGTTCCAGTTTAGATCTCACATTTTCAGTATGGTTGAGTCTGTGTTTTGGATATATGGCTACATCACTCACCCATATCACCAGTATAACTGAAGTTCTCATGTCTGTTCACCCATTACTTCCCGTTTCACTTAACATGATATCTTCCAGTTCTAACCACATTGCAGCAAGTTGTATGATTTTATTGTTCCTGGCAGCTTCATAGTATTCCATCGTGTGTTATATGTACCACATCTTCACAACCGACTCATCTGTCATCGGATACCTAGGTTGATTCATATCTTAGCCATTGTACTGAGTGTAGCAATGAGTAATAGTGTACATATGTCCTTCTGAGAGAGTGTTTCTATGTTTGGAGGTAGATGTCCAAAGGTGGAATTGCTGGGTCATATGGCAGTTCAATTCTAAGTTTACTGAGAACTCGCCATACTACTTCCCACAGGGGCTGTACCAGACAATATTCCCACCAGCAGTGGATGAGAGTTCCTTTTTCACCACATCCCAACCAACACAGATTGTTTCCACTATCTTACAGTAAATGATCTTTAATTCAAAAAGTCTCTACAAGAATGATCACTATCTAGTACCAGGACAATGCATCACTGTGAGCAGAAACTCATGACATACTAGCAGTCACTCTGTTCTTCTCTCCTTCTTACCACTGGAAACTACCTAAACTGCTTTCGCAGACTTGACTATTAGGAACATTCCATGTAAGCAGAATCTTAATGGATTTTCTTGTTATGGACATTCCATATGAATGCAATCATATAATATGTGGCTTGTCTGACCTTTCTTGCCAAGACTTCTAATACTATTGTTTCAATTAATAGGGATTTTGGAGTGACATATTTCCAGATTGCTCTACAAATGTACTGCTCTAATTTATAATTCATTCAGCAGGTTGTAAGAATATTTGTTTTCCTCACATCTGAAGCATATATACAGAGTCATTATAAGTATTTTAAAATAATATCACACTGGGCCGGAGCGATTGCACAGCAGATAGGGCGTTTGCCTTGCATGTAGCCGGCCTGGCCAACCCGAGTTTGATTCCTCCGCCCCTCTCGGAGAGCCCGGCAGGCTACCGAGAGTATCTCACCTGCACAGCAAAGCCTGGCAAGCTACCCGTGATGTATTCGATATGCCAAAAACAATAACAACAGGTCTCACAATTTGTTGTGAGACGTTACTGGTGCCCGCTCGAGCAAATCGATGAACAACAGGAGGACAGCAACAGTGAATGTCACATTATTATAATGTATATTAAATTTGCTACATTTAGCTTGAATTTAAAAGATTCTATGTTGGTTATTTCTTTTAATTTTATTTCCTTCTCATTTTTGTATGCAACTAACTTTTCTACTTTTATGTTCTTTTTTTCCCCTGATTTAAATGAATCCTTTATATGTTTTTTGCTTTATTATTTTTTGGGGGGGGCACACCTGGTAGTGTTCAGGGCTTACTCCTGGCTCTGTGCTCAGAGATAACTCCTGGTGATGCTTGGGGGACCAGTGAGGTTCCAGGGATTTAACTTGGGTCAGCAATGTTCAAGGCAAATGCCTTACTCACTGTGCTATCTCTCTGGCCCCTGAATTCTTCATATTTTGCAAATAGTTAGCCTTAATCATTTTTGACATTTTTTCTGATTGATAATAGTTATTTTTTAAAAAATTCAGTTATTTTGTACAGTCAAAAACCATGCAATCTTTTATAACTGAGTTCTCTCACTTGGCGGGGTACAGGTGGAGGGCAGAGGTTAGCTTCTCACCTGGCAGTGCTTTGGATCTACTCCTGGCTCTGTACTCAAGGTGTCATTCCTGGTGGTACTTGGGGGACCATATGTGGATGCTGAGGACTAATCCAGGGACATTCACATGCCAGTCAAGCTCTCTAATCCTATGCTGGATCTCTGGCCCTGATGTCTCTCACTTTGTATCATTTCAAGGCTCCTTCATGTTGTAGCACAAAATAGTTTACCTTAATTTATTTTAAATCATGGTAAAATATTTAGCATAACATTTATGGCCTAATCTTTTTTAAGCACAAATTTTGGTACCATTAACTCTACTTACGTTGTTATAAAACATCTTCATCTTTCCAAATTAAAACTATATCAGTGTTTCTCAACCTTTTTCCAACTGTGACTCCTTCTGAACTTTGTTTATTCCTGTGTCCTCTCTGTCCTACTGTTTGGACACCCTAGTCTCATTCCGTGGCTCCTATTTATGTGATTTTCAACACGGGTTCCTTTTGGGACACCCTATCATTGAGAACCACTGACCCCTACCACTCATAGACTTCCCTTCTCTCTCCCAGCTCTGGTTATTGCCACCCTCCTTTCTCTGTACATCTGCCTACTTCAAATGCCACGTGTAAGTGGAATAATACAGTATTTGTCTCAACTGACTTATTTCACTTAGTGTGATGTCCCCCAGTGCTTACCTGTGTTACAACATATGCCACTTCTCTATTCCATTTTACATAGAGAATATTTTCTTTGCCTATGCATCCATCTTTGGGACAATTCTATTTCTTGGCTATCAACTATTCCTAGTAGATCAATTAGGAATAGTACCTTACTCCTGCTATTACTGAATGATAATACATTTTTAAAATATTTTAATTTTTTAACACATGAGATGTCTCTGGATCTTACAAGTCTTTTACTTATTATTTCTAAACACTGATTCTAAAATGTGCTTATCTAAAAGACTTGCTTTGAGTAACACTTTACAGTTATTTGTAAAGGATCAAAACTTATTTTTCTAATATTCTTTTGTGTGTGTGTTGGGGTGGGGGTGGGGTGGGGTGACCAAAGCTGTCAGTGCTCATGGGTTACTCCTGGCTCTGCACCCAGGAATTAATTACTCCTGGCTGTGCACAAGGGACCATATGGGATTCAGGGCATAGGCCACATACAAGGCAAGCACCCTACCTGCTATACTATTGCTTCAGCCCCTAAGATTTCATTGAGCATGTGTGAACCCACTATCCAGAGACCCCTTGTCACCAAAGCAGGAAATTTGTTCCCAACTGTATATTGTGGATCTGGCTTCAGTTTTTCATTTGATGTACAGAGCTCTACTTAGTTATCCCTTTACAACTATGCAGTCCAAAAAAATGAATTTAAAATGTATTTGTTTATGCATTTATATATGTTTACCCTAACTTGTTTCATAAGAATGTGATCAGGATCGAAAACTGGATCTGGACTCATTGTGGATGCTGCCATCTTGCTATGTAACCTGGTATCTATGACAGGCTCAGCCTCCTTAAGTGCCAACATTCCTTCTATTTCTTCTTCCTAGATACATAAGATACATATTTCCTGGAAAGGGTCTAGCCTCTCTCTTACTCCCCTGAAATAACAAGAACCAAAGTCTTTAAAATAATAAAATGCTCATAGTAGAATTTTTAAAGGAAGAAAGTACATGTACCTCAATCTTGATTTATATATACATATGTATGTATATATATATAATTGTATATACATGTATATGTATATATATATATAATTGTTTTGAGGGGCTGGGGCGATAGCACAGCAATTAGGGCATTTGCCCTGCACGCAGCCAACTCGGGCTCGATTCCCAGCATCCCATATGGTCCCCTGAGCACCGCCAGAAATAATTCCTGAGTGCAGAGCTAGGAGTAAGCCCTGTGCATTGCCAGGTGTGACCCAAAAAGCAAAAAAAAAAATTGTTTTGAAGTAGAGGAGAAGGCCTCTCTGTTACTCCTGAACCCATACCATCATGCTCCACAGTCTTATTATAACCTGAACTAATAAAACTCAAAAGGAGGTTTCTTCCCTTGCTGCCACCAGCCAAGTCAGAGATTTCCATGACAATTATCATCTCTTTAGATGCCCATGGCCTGCCAGTTCTCCAGCAAAATTGGCCTTTTTCTTGCCTGGCTGTGTGTGTGTGTGTGTGTGTGTGTGTGTGTGTGTGTGTGTGTGTGCGCACACACACACACATTATCTAAGCAGTGGGTTGTTGTTAAACCACAGGGACCCAGGCCAGGCCTGGAGGAGGAGAGGCCTCTTGGGTGAACCTGCATCTCAGCATCCACCCACCACCCTGAAAGTCTCACCTCCTGGAAATCCCAGCACTGCCGATGGTCAGCGGAGCCCCCCTCTGTACAGTTCTCCAGAATCACCCGCTCCTGCTGGACGTCCAAGCACAGGCGCTGGGGGCCGGCAACGCGGATCTCCTTCCTGCCGGTGTGCTCCAGGTGCTGGGCAGAGGGGATGGTTGTTAGCACTGCGGGGAGGAAATGCTGGAGAGGGGCCAAGGAGAAGCCCCAAGAGGACAGAGGTCTAGGGGTGCCCTCAGATTCTACCACATAGACACAGGACTATATCTCAGAGTCAAGCCCAAAATGATGTTACTTAGACTAGCCCCATCCTCTGAGACTTCCACCTCCCCATGGCTCTCCCATTTCTATTCACACATTCTGGAATGTTCCTTTGTTCTACTGACTGCATCATAGGTGAGGGCACAAAGAAGACTGTGGGTTCAAGCATGAAAAGATGGACTCTGCCTCAGTGCCAAGGGCCATGACTGGATGAAGAAGTTGGGGTCTATATCCTCAACAAAAAACGAAGTGACTGTTGAAAAAAGAGAAGAAAAAAATAAAGATGAAATCCTGCCTTTGTTCACAACATGGCTGGAAATGGTGGTGGTGAAGTGTGGTGAAATGTATGAGGAAATGAAAGAGAAGAGACAGGTGTTTTCACTCAGACGCAATAGAAATAGATGCAATAGAAATAGAAAAAGCAAAAGAAACCACCAGAAAAGAACAGAAATCATCCCCGGACTGAAAAAGATGGTGGTGAGCAGTGGGAAAGGGGAAGGAGGAGAAGAAGAATGCATAGTGGGGATCATTTTGATAAGAAGGTGACTTCAGAATAGTTGGGTGTTGGGTGTGGGGGGACTTAGACACATACAGAGGCAGGAAGCAGCACCCCCAAATGTTACGATGCTGTAAACCAGTGACCAATGCAGAAAATGTGGAGAAAAAAATAGTGAGGGCTTGGTGGGTGCTGGAAGATGAGTGAAGATGGCCTGGTGGGGCCTGGTCTCACCCACTCCTGGAACTATTTCTGCAGCGGCATGGCTGCCCGGACCACCAACCAAGCCCCTCTCTCCCCTGCCATTCTTCACAAACCCATTTTCTATCTCATCCTGCCCACCGCAGTCTGAACCTTTTTTTTTTTTTGCTCATTTTTGGCCTGGGGATTGAGCATGTAACCCATATACTAGAATTGGGTGGGGCCTTCAGCCAAGAATAGGGGTTCATATACTTGGTTTGATATACCAGGCTCTGTCACTGTTCAAAATGCCGAAGAGCAGCCGAGTAAGGTGTCCTGTGTTTTCGTCTTGCCTGGAGTTTCATATGGCACCACCATCTTTTTCCATATTTTGCATTTCCCTACCCACACATTAAGTATGTTCTTCACTGGAAGATGCCCAGGCCACATGCCTAGTGGACTTTTAAATCCTGCACCCTGTTAGGTGCATGGTTGTGATGGAATGTTCTCAGGAGAGAGGTGTTCAAAGTCCCATAGGCATGGGACAGTTTTCTTATCATCTCTTGGAGACTTAGAGTGCATTTCTGAGCCAGACTTTTCCATTTAAAGCTATCAGTGTCTCTCCTAAGTAAAGTCTGAGCCTGCACCCTCTGCACTTCTTGTTTCTGATCTCTCACGCCTCTCTTCTTGCTTTTTCCTTGGAAACTAGAGCCCCAGATGATGGGGAGGGGGGGGGGTGTGGGGGGCTGAGCTGGGATCTGTCCCCTCAGCCTAGAACAGTGAAGGTTGTTACCCCTAAGCTGCCTCCGGACACGGCCCTGCAGATGTCTCTGTCAGGAATTTATTTAGGCATGGAAGAGGGTGTTCCTTCTCCTTCCATTTCAAATTCAGCCTATCTGGATGCTTGTGGGGGGAAAGCTTTTAGCTTCTTTAATTCCCCATTTTGCTGGACCGAGAAGTTCTTGCTAATCCTCCCTCCCTGTCCCCCCATCTACCATAGCTACTGCTCCGCTCACGAGAGGAAGAACGCATCTCATTCATTGGGGGAACATAAAGTAACAAAATAGGAGACTAACACCCAAGAACGGCCGAGATTAGTACCAGGAATTTTGTTCCATGGCTTGGACACCAGCCACACATGCTAGGGGAAAAGGGAGATCAGATAGAGAAGGGAGCACCAAATAAAGGTGTTGGGAGGATCCTCCCAGGATGGGAGAAGCATGCTGAAAGTAGACTATAGACCAAACATGATTGCCACTCAATGCCTCTTTTGCAAACCACAGCACCCAAAAGGAGAGAGAGAACAGAGGAGAATGCCCTGCCACAGAGGCAGGGTGGGAGGGGGGAATGGGGGTGGGAGGGATACTGGGATCCGTGGTGGTGGGAAATGGGCACTGGTAGAGGGATGGGTATTTGATCATTGTATAATTGAAACCCAAGCACAAAATTTGTAAGTCTACAACTGTACCTCATGGTGTCTCACTAATAAAAATTAAAAAACAAAAGACAAGAACGCATCTCCCTGCATAACAGGAGAACAAGGCTGAAAGTCAAGGGCCCTGTCTGGAGAGGGGAGCTGTTCCAGCTCTGCCCAGTGCCTCCTCACCAGCCCCTCCCATCCGGACCCCTTCCCTTCTGCCTAGTCTGAGTGCAGAAGGGTCATTCTGGGTTGCAGTAAATCGCCAAGTCAAGAGAACTCGAATGAAGGGCCGGAGCCATAGTACAGCGGGTAGGACGTTTGCCTTGCACGCAGCCGAACCAAGTTCAATCTCCGGCATCCCACATGGTCCCCTGAGCACTGTCAGGAGTAATTCCTGAGTGCAGAGACAGGAGTAACTCCCTCAGCATCGCTGGGTGTGACTCAAAAGGCAAAGAGAGAGAGAGAGAGAGAGAGAGAGAGAGAGAGAGAGAGAGAGAGAGAGAGAGAGAGAGAACTTGATGGAGGGCTTGAACGATAGTACAGCAGGGAGGGCCTCACCTTACATGCAGCAGGCCCGGATTTGAGTCCCAGCTTCCCATATGCTCCCTGAACACTGTCAGGAGTGATCTCTGAGCACTGAGCTGGGAGTAAGTCCTGAGCACCTCTGGGTATGGCACCCCCTCCGTACTCCCCCACAAATAATAAACAAAAGAAAGAGAACTCAAGTGGATCCTAATCCTCTGCTGACCACTGTGTCCAGGGCCTTCTGCCAAAACCCCAGGCCAGGTCAGGTCAGGCTTTGCGGTCCACCTCATCCCTGCAGTGCTGGATCCCAGAGCCTTCCCAAGTGACTGCCCAGGCTGCAGAATATCGGGGGAAGGATTCAATATCAGTACTCTAGAGATGCAAAGTACTCTAGAGACGCAGAGTACAGTCGCAAGTCAGGGTTGTGGGTTTTGCAAACAAGGAGCATTTGGGACAGAGTGGGGAGAATTCTCCTCATTCCCTTAGTACCCCCGCTGGGTATTCCACCTTCCCCATTGACTCAGGATCTCTGGGTGGTCTTGGTGTTTTAAAATGGCTCCCATGTAGCACTTTCCAGCATACAGACCTTCTCTGTGCTCTGATTTTGCTTTTGTGTGTTTTGTTTTGTTTTTTCACCGTTAGGGGGAACTTTCCCACATACTCTGGTTTCTAGTGTCTTTTTTGGTCCCTGGGTGCTCTCATAACTCTGGCTTCACTTTCAGACATGATAAAAGGTATTTACTGAGGGGTGGGGCGGACCAAGGTGCCCTGTGAGATGGTCTCCCCACCCACCCCTGGGACGAGACCCCTGACCCACCCGAACCCTGACTGTGTCTGCACTGCCAGCCTGTGCTGTCCCTTCCGGGCTTCAGCTGCCTTGTGTGTCCCACACAAGCAAGGGCTGGGCCATACCCTGAGGCTCTCATTCACTGGCTGTGGGCCCTGTCTGTGCTGGCTGTCAGGTCGTCATGGGATGGGGGAGCTGTAGGCACGTGGGCACACGGGCTCCCGGGAAGGCAATGCCCCAAAGGGAAGGTCAGGGCGTGTTGGGAAAGACCTCTCCAAGGTCTCCTTGGACCAGACAGAGCATTCTATCCACTCACCTGTGACTTCCTGCTGTCACTGCAGGAAGCCAGTGTCAGGCCACAGCCTGGGAGGGCCCCATCCGCCTGGCAGTCAGCACAGAAGCCCAGGCCCGTGTTGTGGAGCTGAAATGGACGTGTACATGGAAGTGAGTCCCACACCCCAACAGGACCTCTGTCACACATGCCTCTCTCTCATCTTCCCCCTCCCCCTCCCTCTTTCTCTCTTTCTTTCTTTCTCTTTCTCTCTTCCTCCCTCCCTTCCTTTCTCTCTCACTCCCTCTCCCTCCCTTCCTTTCCCTCTGTCCCTCCCTCCCTCTCTTCTTCCCCCTCCCTCCCTTTCCCTCTCTCTCCTTCCCTCTCTCTACCTCCTCTCTCTTTCTTTCTCTCCCTCCCTCCCTCCCTCCCTCCCTCCCTCCTTCCTTCCCTCTCTCCCTCCCTCCTTCCCTCCCTCTTTCTCCCTCCCCCTCCCTCCCTCTGTCCCTCTCTCCCTCCCTCTCTCTCCCTCCTCCTCCCTCCCTTTCCTTCTCTCTCTCTCCTTCCCTCTCTCTACCTCCCTCTCTGTCTTTCTCTCCCTCCCTCCCTCTCCTCTGTCTTTATCTCTCTCCCTCCTTCCCTCCCTCCCTCTCCCTCTCTCTTCCTCCCCCCTCTGTCTTTTTCTCTGTGTCTTTCTCTCTCTTTGTTCTCCTTTCTCTCTCTTTCTTTCTTGGCTACACCTGGTGATGTTCAGGGGGTTCTCCTGGCTCTGCACTCAGGAATCACTACGCCTAGCAGTGCTCAGAGGGACCCCCAGAGACTGAACCCAGTTAACTGCATGCAAGGCACTGTCTTATCTCTCTGGCCCCCAGATTTGCTCCTTCCTGTGCCTCTCTGGCATGGAATTCAAGGAGGCATGTTCAGGCCACAAACAGAAGTGAGTCCAGCAGGAACCTCTGCTCTATAGACTTGGGCCTCCTGGAGGAGCCAGATTATACTAAGAGACGCCATGGGATGGCCAAGGGGTAGCCCGGCCACCTCCCTAGGCCAGGCCGGGAGCACCCTGCTGAGTTTAGGCCCATTTGCTTATGGTCTGGAAGAGCACCTGAGACCAGTCTAGCTGTGGTGTCCCACCCCACCCCACCCCTGCCTCCTCTCCCCCAGGTCCTGCCTTGCCTTTCCGGAGAACTGGGGCCGACGTTCAGATGGGAACAGCTCTGGGTGGACATTGGCCAGAAACCAGTGGAATGTGCGGCAGCCCAGCCTCCTCTGCAGCTGCAGGCGCGCGGTGCAGTCGGGCCTGTTGACCTGGAGAGAGGCAGGGCAGACAGTGGGCACAAGAGCCAGGAAACCTGTTTTCCCTGGCTGGCAGGTGAGGCAGGGATGGATGCGGCTGATGCTTGGGGGCTGAGGCAGAACCAGCCACAGAGTCTACGATACCCGAGATGGGCAGGGGAGGAGGCACAGGGATAGAGGGACTTAGGAGGGGCAGATGAGAAGGGTCTGCCCTCGACAGAGCTGTGGAAGCAGCCGCCTGGAAGGTGAGGTCAATCTCTGCCCACGGCCCTTCATACTCAGTCCACAAAGCTGAGCTTTGGCAGAACCCATGTGGAAGGTTGCAGTGTGGCCGGTATTGCACCGAGGGTGCCCTGGTCCTAATTGACAATGGAATCCCTCCGGAAGTTGTAAGGTGGCCCAAAGGCAGCTGGGGAATGGTGGCCTGGTAGGATGGGGCAAGTCAAGTTTATCTTTCTTCCCCATTGGGCACCCAACTCTCCCATTAGTGAGTCATCCCGCCGATCCTCTGTCCCCCAAAGCATCTTCTTTTTTTGGTTGTTTTGTTTTTGTTTTATTTGGGAGCCATGCCTGACGATGCTCCAGGAATTACTACTGCTGGTGGTGCTCGGGGGCCACATGGGATGCTGGGAATCGAATTCAGGTTTGCAAGGCAAATGCCCTATCCACTGTACTATCGCTCTGGCCCACTAGGAGTCTTCTTTAGAAGACAAGAGTTCTAGGATGGAGGGCCAGGAACCCATTAGTGTGAAGTCATGTATTGATACGGGCGGGATGAGAGAAATCCAGTGTGCCCGGCAGGCTCCCCCTTACCTTCCTCAGGGAGAGCGCCTCAGGGCTGTGTCTGTAGAATGTGTCTTTGAAAGAGCCCAGCCAGGCCTCCGCCATGCGAACTTTGCTCTGCAGATTGGCCTTCTGGTCCAGTGGGGAGAGGGCTTCCGGGCTCCGGTAGATGTGCCCCACCCGTGAACAAGGGAGGATTTCCACGGAGCCGCCACAGAGCCAGGCCTGCGAGGAATGGAACACACAGACTTTCTGCTCCCGGGTCCCACAGCGGGCCAGAGGACCAAAGAGATAGTGCAGAGGTTAAGGCGCGTGGCTCCCCTGTGACCAACCTCTGTTAGATCCCAGGCACTAGATGGGCCTCTCCCCCAATCCTGCTAGGTGTGACCCTCGAGTGCAGAGCCAGGAGGAAGTCCTGAGCACTGCCGGGTATGGCCCCCAAACCAATAAATAAATAAGTGAAAAGAACAAGGGTGGAGTCTGGAAAAAGCTGGTGAAATGCATAAGATTGTGAGGAGAGAGACAGAGACAGAGAAGGAAAGTACTTGCCATAGAAAAAAGACTGGGGTGGAAGTGTGGCCATTTTCCATTGTGACCTAAGTGTGACCATTGGTGGTGGGAAATGAGCAGTGTTGGAGCATTGTATAAATGAAACCGGATCATGAACAGCTTTGTAACTATGTATTTCTTGGTGATTCAATTAAAAAATAAATGAGTAAAAATAAAAGTTGAAGAATAACAAAAGGAAAGAAAGAAAGAAAGAAAGAGAAAGAGGGAGGAAGGAAGGAAGGAAGGAAGGAAGGAAGGAAGGAAGGAAGGAGGAGGGAAGGGAAGGGAAGGGAAGGGAAGGGAAGGGAAGGGAAGGGAAGGGAAGGGAAAGGAAGGGAAGGGAAGGGAAGGGAAGGGAAGGGAAGGGAAGGGAAGGGAAGGGAAGGGAAAGGAAGGGAAGGGAAGGGAAGGGAAAGGAAGGGAAGGGAAGGGAAGGGAAGGGAAGGGATGGGGGAGGGGAGGAGGAAAGGGAATGGAATGGTAGGAGGAGAGGAGGGGAGGGGAGGGGAGAAGAGGGGAGGGGAGGATTGTGAGTTGCACCTGAGGTGAAAGAGCTTTTCTAGATCTGGGTGCCTGGGCAGAGAAGTGCGGAAATGGAAAGCAGAGGGACGGCTGTCCACACTCCAGGTGGGCACATGGGTTGTACCCATTCAGCCGTGAATGTGCCACCTTCTTATAACCAGGCACAGATTTAGCAATTCTAGAGACATGCCCATCTGGGCCAGGGATGTGGCTTGATGGTAGAGCGTTGTGTGTCAGATCCTGGGTTCAATTCCGGACATCAGAAACATAAAAACTAGAGATGTGGTCATCTGCAGGAACACCCCCTTTTCCCCAAAGTCAGGGTTCCTACACAGTGTGTCAAGGCCCTGGGGGAGTCTATGGGGCTCTAGGGGATAGTTGAAATCACCCAGAGAATCACAATGGCAGCAATTGGATATTCTGACACTGCAGGGGATTCCTGACACCGACCTCAGGTCCCGCATCTTGCTCCATCCAACAGTCCAAATGATGATCTCCCGTTAAATAACCTAGAAACAGTCCAGGAGGCTGGCGGGGGGTGGTCTCCAGTCCCATCTCAAGTGTGTGAGGTTGTGGGGTGCTCAACAATTGTGATATTGTCAGGATGGAGACTTATTAAGGGGCTGCCACCAATCTACCTACTGGGCAGAGTGTGATAATTGGTTGGTCTCTGAGTGCCAGGAGAGCATCTGAGAGTCTGAGGTGTCGGCAGAGAATGTGGTGGGGGAGAGGGCACTGCACTCAGTATAGGGGAAGGACAACCCACCTTCCTGAGGATGTCTGGGGGTTGGGGGTGAAATTAAAGAGGGGACAGCAGGGGAAGAAGCGGGGCCTCCCTTGGCTGGGCCCCCCTACCTTGAGAGACAGTTCCAGGTTTTCGGAGCCCCGCAGAGACAGGAGAGGGTCATATGCCCCTGTGTTCAGGAAGTGGTGTCTGTCCACGGCCACCACTCCACCGGGCACCACGGGGGTCCTGGAGAGAAGAGACAGGATGGTTGGGAATGGAGAGCAGAGGACAGGGTGGGGATGGGGGTGAGGGACCAGGCTCCAGGGACAGAGAGCTGGTTAGTGGCTCGGATGGGCCCAGAGCAGAGCAAGCAGGTCACAGTGCCACTGATCGAAGGAAGGAGGCTCAGGGGCCCCTTTCTACACCCTCCACAAATGCTGCAGCCCTAGGGAGACCCTGGGGCTTCACCAGCTGCTCCCCTGCTCTCTGGCTCTTCTCGGGAAGGCCCCAGTGGAAGAGACCCGGGTTCAAATGAGACAGCCTGAGCAGGCAATGAGGTCTGGAGTCAAGAGACAGACAGCTAGGGACCACTAAGTAAATGTTGCTTGGAAGGCTCACTTGGGATGGGAGATGCATGCTGAAAGTAGACTATGGACCAAACATGATGGCCACTTAGTACCTATATTGCAAACCATAACACCCTAAAGGAGAGAGAGTAAAAGGGAACATGCCTGACACAGAGGTGGGGTAGCAGTGGTGGGGGTGTTGGGGGTGGTGGGAGGGATACTGGGAACATTGGTGGTGGAGAATGGGCACTGGTGGAGGGATAGGTACTCGATCATTGTATGACTGAAACGTAATCACGAAAGTATGTAAGTCTGTAATTGTATCTCACAGTGATTCAATAAAAATAAATTTAAATTAAGAGACAGAAAGGCTCTGGGCCTATCAGCTTCCACACCCCTCAAAGCTCCCCACCGCCTCCCAGTTCTAAGATGACTCACCCAGGACTCTGACCAAAATCAAGTCTGGGGGACAGGAAGAGAAAAATGATCTGAACAGGGGTGCTGCTCACCTGGGGAAAAAACACCTGAACAGGAGGTTACAAAATGCTTCCTAGATGTCACATTTGTCCAGAAGTTGTTGTTGTGTTAACCATTCAACAGAAACAGGGTCAACCAAGAAATGACCTCGATGTCAAAAGTGAGTTGGGGCTACTCTCTTCATTCCCTGCCCCATTCATTTAACAAGATTGTGGGACCCCCTTAGCTGCAGACCTGGCCCTCTCCAGCTTCTTCCTCCATGGGACCCTTTCCCTCTTCACGGCCTCGTAAGGGCGGCTGTTTGGATCCCCACTTCCTGGTGAGGAGACTGAGGCATCGAGGCAGGAATGAGCTCAGGAGCCAGGGCAGCTGGGTGATCTGCCCAGGGGAAGGCAGGAGGTCGAACCTCACCTGATAGGGCTGATGGGCGACTCCAGCTTCTTCCTTTCATGCTCTGGTAGAGCCTCCCAGTGGAAATCCAGATTCCAGTCCAGCACGCCGCGCTGCAGGGCCTCGGAAGGGGAGTAGTGGAAAGTCTTCCAGTCGATCACATCCAGGACTGGGGACACCACCCGGCTCCTGGAAGGAACGTCACCCAGTATGAGGTGGAACCCGTTGGCTTGTGACGGTCGACAGCTACCCTCCCCCAGATGGCGGCTGGAGGCCACGTGTCATGCCAGACTGGTTAAGAGAGGGCCCCTCTGTGCCTGAACTGCATAACCCAAGGACCGGCCTTGGAACATTAGAGATCCTTTATACAAAAAAAAAAAGAATCAAGAAATGCAAGTTCTTGAGGCTGGAGCAATAACATAGTGAGTAGGGCATTTGCCTGGCTTGTGGCCAACCCAGGTTTGATTCCCAGCATCCCATGTGGTCCCTTGAGCACCGCCAGGAGTAATTCCTGAGTGCAAGAGCCAGAAGTAACCCCTGTGCATCACTGGGTATGACCCAAAAAGCAAAAAAAAAAAAAAAAAAAAAAAAAAAGAAATGCAAGTTCTTGGTGGAGTTTTAGCCATCATATTCTAATGCTTTCTCTAGGAATCAGCGCTCTTTGCATGCCTTCACAGAGAGTAGAGGCTTTCCTCCCACTAATTATGGCACAGCCTTGGTTTAAGTGAATCTTTCACTGAAGGGAGAGAGAATGAGGCAAAACATTACCCTTTCCAGGTGTGTGTTTTGCCTTTTGGGTCACACCTGGCGATGCACAGGGGTTACTCCTGGTTCTGCACTCAGGAATCACCCCTGGCGGTGCTCAGGGGACCATTTGGGATGCTGGGAATCGAACCTGGGTTGGCCCCTCGTGCAAGGCAAAGGCCCTACCCGTTGTGCTATTGCTCTAGCCCCCAGGTATGTGTTTTAGGGGGTGGGGGCACTCTGCAATTTGAGGCATTAGTTTCTGTGTCTCTAAAACAGAGGAGAGGCACTGGAGAATCTTGAACCTCCCTCCCAACTCTGCTCCCTTCCAGGATGCAAACCATTGAGAGCCCCTGAGGAAAGCAGAGTTCTCCAAGGCGGGGGAAATGCAAAGACACTTGGGCAATGTGGATTGGAAATGCTGCCCCTGGCTAACCTGTAAACGCCGCCACCGCCCCCACCCCAGCCCCACCTCTTGTTCTCCAGACCCCAGGGGCTGAGTTACCTGTCACCAGCTATCCTGCTGAGGAGGGGCTCCAGCCAGCCTGGGTGGCACTCGCAGTGTGAGTCCATAAAGATCAACACGTCTCCGGTGGCCCTGGTGGCCCCCAGCATCCGGGCCCCGCTGCTCCCCAGCCTCTTGTTGCTCCTCAGCAACTTCACCCCCTCCAGCCGGGACACATACTCGCTGAGCGCAGACTTGAGCTGTCCTGGAACCGACAGGATTGTGGTCAGCGGGATCAGAGAGGCCACAGCCAGTGAAATGGTGATGACCACCCCCAATTCACTGTCACGGTTCTTTCCCTGGAGGCCATGCTGAGCTCATGAGGCCCTGGGATTCCTGTACCATTGTACTATAGGACTGTGTCTGAGATGTAAATTACTTTGCTAATTGTGGGCAGGTGGGTCTGGATTCTCTCTGGTGAAAACCAGGAGGGAAGGTGTCACAAAAGCAGGAGGGGAACAGAGTTGGACACCTCCTCTAACTGCAGTAGTGAGGCCACAGTTGTCGGTGTTGGTCCCCTGCCCAGATGCCCTAGGACACTTGCTACTGGTCAGGTTGAGTTGGCTCGTCCCGGCTGCACCCTGATCTGTTTGCTGAAATTGTACTAGGGATGGGAACTGCCTCTCCTGTTAGTATCCAGAGATCCCTACCAGATGCCATTGCAAAAGATGGCACCCACATATGGGAGAGGAATGGGGGCCTGCTCCCTGGTACCACAACCAGAACAACCCGCAAGTTCCCTCTTCACTGAAAAGCACCCCAAAGAGCAGCATCTGAATCCACTTCTCGGTTCAGCTCCTTCCTCTGCCTCTCCTGCTCCCCGCAGCCCCCATTTCCCTACAAGGCTCTTCTGAGGTACACAACCCCAGATCCCAGACCCTCACGCGCATGCTCACACCAAGAGGGCAGGGTGGGAATGACATGCTCCCCTAGAGGCAGGATCCATGGAGAAATAATGGAAGCAGAGGCTAGTGCACTGGACCAAGCTCTTTTCAGTGTGTCTCCTGCATGGCTGTTGCTCCTGCCCTTACCCCCCACTCGTACCATCCTCCCAAATGTTGGATTACCCCAGGCGTGCAGCGCTTGTGTGCTGAACCCAACTGCAACTAAGAGAAAGGGTTTTCCTAGCTGTACAGCCCCAGGTGGTCCTGATGGAGAGATATAGGGCCTGGTTATTTTGGGTCCCTACAGTGGAAGGGAAGGTTTTGAGGAGCCCAGACTCCTGGAGAAGTTGCTTCTGAGTGACCTGTGACTCTCAGATAGATTTTTCTGCAGAGAAAACTATCCAGAGGGGTAGACAGAGGAATTCTCCATCATTGGGTGGGTGCGTTTCCCAGTGAACAAACTGCTGTGCTGCTTTATTGCTTTATACAGAATTTCGTCGACCCATTCTCTAGAGATGAGTCTCTAAGTGTGATTCTGACAGTTTCTGAACTTGGACATCTAACCTGTGGTGACTGGATTGACAGTCATCTCCGGCAAGCTTCCTTTTCCCATTCCACCTGACTGGCAGAACCTCAATGTGGTTCTCGTCTCTAAAGCCAATCACTGAATGTGACACCCTTTGCAGCCATTAATGTGGCCTTTGGGTACAGTTCTGCTAGAAATACATCAAGTTAGAGGATTCTGGGTAAATTACAAGGGTTTTTTTTCCACCCCATAAGGATAAAATTTACTGGGGTTGATAAGTCTGGTTTTTACCCTCTTCCTGCCCGAAATGCGGATGTAATTATGCCTGGCAGTAGAGCAGTCTTGATTGTGAATATGAGACTCACAGCCATACTCCAAGTTGGGCTAAGTTGGAAAGTAGGACCTAAGGTATTGGAAGTAACCTGAATCCCCAGGGTCAACCATCAGGACATTTTTTTAAGTGATGGATGAGGGACCACAGGAGTCCTCTTTTGGAGATCTATGCCCCCCACCAAGGGATTCGGAGAGTCCAAGGCTGCTATGTCACCAGCCAAAGCAGCCAAGCCCAAGACCTGCTTACCATCCCGCCCCATTGATATTTCAAGTGCCTTGGCAGCACCTCAGACCCCAGAAACTCTGGTTAGTCTAATGTTACCATGACCAGCCCATGGGCTGAGCCGTGCCATGAGGACCTGAGAAACAACAGCCACTGGGCCCCCTGTCATTCTCCTTAGATAGTGCTTCGCAGGCTCAGGCAGTGGCCTCCAATGAGAGCTATGGGTGTCAGTGTGCAGCCTGAGGCAGCTGGTTAGAAACGCACCCCTTGGCCATACTGGGAGTGTTCCCCACCATCATCATCTCCATAGGACATGCCTGTGTCCCCATGAGAGCCTTGGACTTAGAAGTCAGTCTTGGTGACTCCATCCCCAGCCTCTGGGAGCCTGGCCACATGGTGGAAGAGTTTCCTGTCTCCGGAGATGGCCAATGGGTGGCTGCAGCTCTGGCTCCTGGGCCAGGTTCAGCGGTGGCCAGTTCTCTTCTCTGGACCTCAGTGTCCTCTTCTGATAAAGGAGGGGCCGGGCTAGAGGCAGATTCTCTCGTACCTGCTGCTTTGCCTGTGTTGAGGAGGCAGTGGGCCTTGGGGGCCTCAAGAGGAGCAGAATGTGTGGGGTTCGGGGCTGGAGTTAGGCCCTATAGAATCAGGTTGGAGCTGTGCTCCTGAGACCCTTTCCCTATTTCCTGCTCCCCTCTTTTCATTTCCCCGTCTGGTTCCCCCACAACCCACCCTCCCTCCGGCTTCCTTATGACATGCCACCTGCTCTGGAATCCCGAGTAGGTATGCTTCTGGGAACCTTACCTAAGACAGGTATGAGCCCTAGTTTTCACAGGGGAACCCCAACTCCCAAAAAACATCCCCACCCCAGGGCCCAGGCCCACCCCCAGGGAGCCTGCAGGAAGCGGCCAGCTACCTTGCCGGCTGAGGTCATCCACAAGGACAATCTCCTTCAGGAAGGCCCGGGGCGCCGTGTCCAGGATGCTATGCACAGTTCTCAGCAGGGTGGACCAGGCCTCGTCGTGGAAGCAGAGAATGACGCTGGCCGTGGGCAGGCTGGTCGCCAGGCGCTGCTGCAGACACCTGCCAGCAAGAGAACAGAGCTGTGGAGAAGGAAAGCGCCAGAAACGCCGTGTCCTCTAGCCCACCTCAGGCCTTGGCCACAGCAGCTACTATGCCGGGGCTGGCCCTGGGGTTCCCTGAGTGTTTCTATTTAGAGAGCCTATGCCTGGGACGCCCCATGTCATGCACCTGTACTCTACCACACGCTTCTCACCCTGTTTCATCCAGGCTTGTCCCATCGCTTCCCTGCCAACAACTGTTCCATCTATGAAGGGGGAATCCAGGACACACCCACCCCAAGAGTTGTTTGAGACGAACAGGTGAAGGCATCTCCTAAGTGCACTCAGAATGCAAACTGGCACGTTTAAGAGCAGGGGCACTATTGTTCCCCCTCTTTTTTTATGGGGGAGGGACCAGTTTGGGTCCCACCCAGTGGAATTCAGAGGTTACACTCAGCTCACTGCTTAGGGGTCGCTCCTGGTGGTGTTTGGGCGATGCTGGTGTTCAGGATGGAAGCTGGACTTCACACACGCAAGGCAGGTGCTCAGTCTTTTGAGCTACAACTAGCACCCCTATTTTCTTTCCGTGTATATTTCTACTACCTAATGCAGCTTCTGGCACAGAATACCTGTCATTGCTTCTTCTTGTTTTTACTATTATTGCTGAAGAAGGGAGCATTTCCGAATGCCAGTGTGACACACCAGCACTGAGCTAGACCCTCTAAACACATCACAGTATGTGTATGCTAGAAAAAAATATGTGGGTTGGGCGTTTTACACCCATTTTATAGATAAGGAAACTGAGGCTCATCGAGGAGACATAGACACCTACAAAGCTATCATGTCCTTTCCACTTGTCTGGTTCCTGTAGGACAGATGGTACAGGATGCCAACTCAGACAGCGGCAGGTTAGCTGCCTCCCTTTCTCCCAAGAAAAGTGCTTCAGAGTCCCTTTGCTCTGGGTGTGCTGAGCCACTGATGAGTCCCCAATGGAATGAAGAATGGAAATGTCTGGGTGTGGCATGTGGCACTCTGTAAAAAATGCACTTTCCCAAATGTTTTCCAAGCCTTCCTCCTAGTCAGAGCTGCCTTCTCAGAGAGTGTGGGTTCTTGGCAATCGCTTGTTTCCAAGACCCCAAAATACAACCCCTGGTCTGGGATGATGATAGCCACACCAAGGCCATCACCGGAAATACCACCGGAAATGGTGTTAATCCACACCCAATGACCGAGCATCCCTAGACCCAGAAAGAGTCCTTCCCACACCGAAACTCAGTGCATCCCGACTCCTGTTGTAAGACAATAATAAAGCAGCACTTGATATTGTACTAACAATACAATACTAGAAAATACTAGAAAATCTTACAGAAGGCACGGAAACACCTTTTGGCTAGCTTTGCCAATGGTCTGGCCAACTTTTGCTTTGGTAACCCGCTTTCTTTTCATAAAGGATTTGAAGTCTTTATGAGAAATAGGTACCACAAAATAATAGCAAAATAAAAATTAGGACGGAAAGTCAGGAGTAGGGAAACAGAGGAGACTGCCAAAGCCCAACATCTGGAGACAGGACATAAATCTAGAGGCTGGAAGGATCTCGGTATTTTTAGAATGGATTTTCATCCTGACACTGAGCTGCCTGGAAGTCAAACAAAACCGAGGAATTAATTCTGCATCAAAGTCACCGCCATGAGAGGAGAGCCTTGGCAGAATTTAGGGGGTGGGAACTGTGATTATCTCTTAAGTCTCTAAAATTGGGGGTGATGTGTTAAATTGCATTGTGACGTGGCACCATAAAGATGATGCAGTTGGAACTCAGAGAGCCTGAGTAAAACACACATGGGTCGTAAACCCCTCAGATGTACTGGAGCCCCCTCTCGGATACAGTAGAAATGTGTCTGTTTTTTTCTTTTCTTTCCTTTTCTTTTTTCTTTTTTTAATTTTTTTGAGCTGGCCTGCAGATCTGCTCTTTGATTCCCAGGATCAAACATTTTTCCACTCTTTTTTTTTTTCTTTTTGGGTCACACTCCTGGCTCTGCACTCAGTAATTACTCCTGGCAGTGCACGGGGGACCATATAGGATGCTGGGAATTGAACCCGGGTCAGCTGCATGCAAGGCAAACGCCCTCCCCGCTGTGCTATCGCTCTAGCCCCACATTTTTCCACTCTTGACCTCTTTTCATCGAGGAACTTTTTACACCACCCCTGGTACACAGATAGGTCTACAAATCAAATATTCACTGATAATAAATCGTGAACAATTAATTTTTAAACAAATTTTATTTTGTTTTTGTGCCATACCCTCCTGTGCTGAGGGCTTACTCTTGGCTCTGTGCTCAGGAGACAGTATGTGATGCCAGATATTGAACAAGGTTTGGCTTCCTGCAAAACAAGTGCTTTGGGGGCCAGAGCAGTAGCACAGCGGGAGGGCATCTGCTTTGCCCGCAGCTGCCTGGGGTTATCTCATAGAGTCCCCCAAGCATTGCCAGGAGTGATTCCTGAGCACAGAACCAGTGGTAAGCCCTGAGTACTGCCAGATGTGGACCCCAAGCACCAAGCACTGTAGCACTGTCCTCCCGTTGTTCATCGATTTGCTCAAGTGGGCCCAGTAACGTCTTCATTGTGAGACTTGTTGTTACTGTGTTTGACATATCGAATATGTCTTGGGTAGCTTGCCAGACTTTGCCGTGTGGGCGAGATACTCTCAGTAGCTTGCCGGGCTCTCCGAGAGGGGTGGAGTAATCAAACCCAGCTCTGCTGGGCTGACTGCTTGCAAGGCAAGCGCTTTACCACTGTGCTATCGCTCCAGCCCCTCAAACACCAAATACATAGATAATTTTTTTAAAAAAGCAAGTGCTTTGCCCACTGTACTGTCTCTCCAGCTCCCCAGAGGTTTCATCTTAATGAGATGCCAGGAGATTTGCAGGCACTTGAGAATTTGAGATGCCAGATGGGGTCAGCCTGATTGGAAGATAGGATACCCCCCCACCCTTTAGATCAAAAGCAGCCTCCCAGGGGTGGGGGTGAAAGTGGGGAGCAGAAATGAAATTCTTGGGTCCCTTACCACAGTGAGCAAGGGTTTGTGGAAGCTGCTTTTAACCAACCCTCTAGAGGTCCACAAACCACACCACTAGGTATGCAGGAAAGCAGGGGCCACTGCCTGAGCAGTACAAAGCACTCTCTCAGCTTTGAGTCTCTGATCCTGGGAATCAGTGAGCTGCGCTGCAGGCAGGCAGGGAGGGCTTATGGGCACTACCCACTCCTCTCGCCCGCAGCGCTGGAAGGCGGAGTTCATCCTGATCCCCAGCCTGTGACTCCCTGGTGGGCCCAGCCCTTCATAAGCTCTCAAGCATATTGAACATCATCTCTTTTTTATTGCTTTTTTTTCTTTCCTATTTTGTTCTTGCATTATTGATCATTTTCCTGGCAGGCCTTTTTTTTTTTAAACTGACCTCCAGAAATGACTCTAGAAGTGCCCAGAAAATACCTGTGGCCTGGACAAGGGATGGAAGGGCAAGGAAAGGCTTGGGCTTTGGGGGGCTTGCATGTAGGAATCAGGGCCAGTGGGGTCTTCTTCAGATCTGGCGTCAAGATTGAGAGGATCAAATGCTCTGGGGCAGGTGAGGGTGCGTGGCACACAGGGCTAGTGGGGGGGAGTATTGTTCCCTCTGTAGAGAACCCTTGGTGTCATGGAGGGCGTGGAGAGGTCCAGTGCCTGTTGTTGGGGTGTCAGAGGGAGTCTGGAGGGGGCCAGGGGTGAGGCCAAAGTTGGCTACAGGCTGCAGTGACTTGGAATAGCATACGGTGTCGCACGCCAGCAGAGGGCGCCACACACCTGGCCACTCACATCAGCTCCCCCTGTTTCCAGCTGACAGGTAGACCACGTGGCCCCATGTCCCCACTCCTGGGTGCTTTCACCACTAAACTCAAGAAAGCCCCAGGCTAGCAGAGGAGCTGGTTACCCCGGGGGAGTGACTCAGCCTCTGGTGTGGTCCACACACACATGCACAACACAGCATGCACTTCAAACACAACATCCACAACACAACTTGCAGATGAACCAGCACGGGCATACAGCGCACACAGTGTACAGGTGCCACACAACACACTCACATGTGCCACACATGCCCAACCACAGCACACCCAGCACATGTGTGTCTACAGGTACAATGCATACACCCGTCACACCATATCAGACATGAACACAGGGCACATTTCCAAAGCAACAGTGTAACACATGTGATATGCTCCAGAAAACACCAAAACACATCAACACCATCACCCCACACATGCACAACAAACACTACAGCTCAACACACATGCACAGTGCACGCCATACCACATACACCTTGATGCACACACACACATACACACACACACATACACACACACACATCACCCTGCACACCAGCACACATGAGAATTCAGGCACCCATGACACATGACAACCAGCCACACAGTCACATCATATTGTGCTCCTGCACCATCCACACACTGCACATACATACTACACACCACCCACATGCACAGAGCACTCACACACATGCATGCAGGGAACTCACATCCAGGCATGCCCACATTATCCCTGCACAGGCAAATTGTCAGTCAATTTGGTACCAGGGAGGTGAGGAGGTTGGAGATGGGGTTTCTTCCTGGCCAAACAAGGATTGTCTCCCCTGTGGGGACTCCCTGAGCTCAGGGCTGTGGGGGGAGGCAGGCAGTAAATGAGCTCAGGCACCAGGGGCCATTTGGCTTTGGCGGTACAGAGGGTACCGAGGGTTCTGAATGGAAATGCCAGAGAGCGCAAAGCTGCAAGTGCGGGTCTGGCCATGCCTGGCAGTTTCCTGCAAAGAGCTCTGAAAGCCAGAGGGAAAGCGGCAGGGCTGGGACTAGGAGACCCTCCTCTCCAGGCACAAACTCTAAGAAGGTGGCACCCCCCCAGGGGCTGAAGGGAGGGATGAACTGTCAGCACAGAGGAAGCCAGCAGGGAGCAGGAATCTGCTCCCATTGGCTGCCCTGGCACTGGGGGCTAGGGGCGTTTGCTTCTGGGTACTGGATGCACAGGAAAGAACAGTAGATTGGCCAGATGGCATGCTGGTCCCGTGGCCCCTGCATGCTGGGAGCAGCCTCCTCTGTGGACTGCCAATGAACCACCATAACCCCAGGCATGGCCAGCACACTATCATCACACATCTCGGCTCTCAGAAAGTGTTTGAGGGAATCCACCCCTATGAACAGACTGAGCTCCTGGGAACCGAGTTGTCCCCTGACCCAAGAAAGGGATCGAGAGTGGTGATTGGGGCATGGACCCTAACCCCTACTCTGTATCTACTAGCTGCATGACATTGGGGAAGTTCCTTGGCTTCTCTGGGCCTTATTTTTCTCCAGGTAAAACAACAGGTGGCATGGTTAACAACCACACCGGCCCAACCTAGTTCTGTGGCTTCCAGAGCGGACCATGAAGGGGTCTTAGAATAAAGTCGGGTGCAGGCACCGCCAGCAGTGATCCCATCCTGAAGGAAGCAAACACCAACCAGATCCCGGCATCCCAGCATAGGGGGCGGGAGGGGGCGGTGTGCGCCGGGTCGGAGGGAGGAGGAGCAGATGGGTGCCGCTCTTTTACAGTCTCTAGGACACGGTTTTCACCTGGCTGGGGGGCGGGGGGATTGGTTGCATACAGATGCCTGGACCCCATAAGGTTGGGATGGGTGGAGGGGAGGGTGGGTTCCGACTCAGCAGGGGTCTACAGCCCTACCTGCTGCTGCGGCGGCGGCGGCGGCGGCGGGTGGTCCCGACACGCCACGCCGTGGGAGCAGCGTGCAAAAGCAGCCGGCCTCCCCCTCGCTGCTGGGGGGCGTCCCGGGGACCCAGGGAAGGGGAATCCCGCGCCTTACTTACAGCGGATGCCGGCCCTCTGGCGGCGCCCGGTGCAGAGGGATGCTGGCGCTGAGCGCCTCCTCCAGGCGGAGCGGGGTCAGCACCTCTTCCTGAGACACCTCCCCTGCCACCTCCTCCTCCTCCCCTTCCTCCTTCTCCTCCTCCTCCTCCTCCTCCTCGTCGTCGTCCTCCTGCAACTGCTCCTGCTCCTGCTCCTGCTCGGCTGCCCAGTCCCTGTCGGCGGTCTCCTCCTCGGCCCGCCTGCGGCCGGGCTGCCGGATGAGCCGGTAGCTGCCCGCTCTCCTGCCCTGGCTCTGGCTCCTCCGGGCGCGGGGGGATGCTACGACCACCAGGAGCTGATCCTCCCGCAGCGAGATGAAGGGCGGCAGGCCGTCCAGGGGGTCGTACTCCTGGCCCTCCTCCCCCTCCTCCCCCTCCTCCCCCTCCTCCCCCTCCTGCTCCTCCTCCTCCTGCTCCTCCTGTTCCTCCTTCTTCTGCTCCTCCTGCTCCTCCTCCTCGTCCTCCTCCTCCCGGGCCTCCAGCATCCGCTGCTGCGACTCCCGGGCGTCGGGGTGCGCGCTGGCTGCCGGGCCGCGCGGGCCGGGCCGGGGCTCGGGCGCGTGCCGCACGGCCACCAGCAGCAGCGCGCCCCCTAGCGTCAGGAAGAGCAGCAGCAGCTGCGGGCCGCACGGGCCGTGGCGTCCGCGCTTCCTCAGCAGCATGATGCGGCGGCGGGCGCGATGCAACAGGTCATGTCCCGGCGCGCCGGCCCCGAGGCTGCAGAGCAGCTCCCACCCCAGCGCACTTTGGCCAGCTTGACGGACCCTCAGAGAGCCGCAGGACCTCCTGGCGAGTCCAGAGGCCGCTCGAGTTGGTTTTCTTCTTCTGAAAACCGCCTCCTGCGCGCGCGCGGAGCTTCCAGCAGAGAGTCGTGCGCTCCCGCTGGTTCCCCTCCCCACCCCGCGCCCCACCCCTTCTATTTATCCGGTGGATATGGCCGGGGAGAGTTATTCCAATCTGCTCAGGTGCTTGGGTCCCCCGGCGTTTGGTTCCCCGGCTGTTGCACGCGCGGTCAGGTGCGGCTACGAGAGGTCTCCCCGGAGCCCGCGGGTCCTCGGTGCCCCCCAGCGCAGAGCCCGAGGCCGCCAGGCAGGTCAGATCAACAGATGTGCAGCCGCAGGCAGAGCCTCATTTCCACTCGCACATCGCTCCCCACTCAGCCCGCAGCCCTTCTGCCAAGTGCAGCCAAGCCGCCTCTCGCTCCTGGTCCTAATGCCCCCACTGTTCCCAGGCTTGGCACCACCCCACGCAACCCAGCTCCCCAGGGGCAAATCAAAGGCGTCACTGCCAGCAGCAAACCCAAACAGGAACATCCCCGGAGTTCAGATGCAAATCAGGGCGCGGAAAAACTAGGAGCCAAACCCAAGGGGGTGGGGGTGGGGGCAGCGTCCTGCCTCCGGGTTGCCGGAAAGGACCAGGGGAGCCCGACTGATGCGCGCCCTGCCTCCCCATCCACCCAGGGGATTCTGAGCACTAGCCTGGCCGCTCCTTCCTGAGAACAGCAGCAGCGCTCGTCCCGCAGAGGTCCAGCAAAGCGGGGTGTTCCTGAAAACCCCACCAGCGCACAAGCGCATCAAACGCCTCCTATGAGCGCCCCGTAGCCGGTCCACAGGGAAGCGGCTCTCCCTGTCCTACAATTTGCTTCCAAATGAACAAATATTCAGGAGCCAAGCGTGTGCCAAAGAATTCTCAGGGGACTGGGCGTCCAGGAACCAATCCACGGAGCAGAATCCAGACCTCGGAGCGGTTGTTCCCGGCGAATAGGCAGCTAGATGTCTTTTAAACACCAGAGTCAGAAGGTGGCAGGGGTTAAGGAGATGGGGTCAGCAGAGAAAAGGACAGGGCGCCAGCTCTGAGGTTGACCTGGACCCTGAGCACGGAGGGAGAGTCTCCCAGAAGGGAGGAACTGGTCTGGGACATTTGAGGGGAGGAACAGAGAGGTGGAGGGTGACTGGCACAGAGCCTGCCCCATGCAGACCATGAGACAGGAGGGCTAAGAGGGCAGAGGGCTGGTGGGGGGTAGGGGGGTTGGGGTGGGTGGTCAGTGGAGGGAAGTCTTGCAGGCCACAGGCTGCAGCTTTGACTGAGCAAGATCAAGTTCTATGAGGTCAGGGCCAGAGGAGAGACCCTGGAGGTTTGATTTGTTTCTTTCCTTTCAGTTTTTGGGCCACACAGGCCATGCTCAGGGCTTCCTCCTGGCTCTTAGCCCAGGGATGCCTCCTGGCAGGATCAGGGGACCATATGGACCATATAGGGTCGGACCCTATTCTGGCGCATGCAAGGCAAACACCACACCTGCTGTGCTATCACAACAAACCCTTGGGTTTGATTTTTTATCAAATTAATTATTTCACTTTTTGGGGGGAACACAGGGGTACTCTCAGCTCAGTGCTCAGGACTGTGCAGTGCCGAGGATGGAACTCGGGCCTCCCACATGTGAAGCATGAGCTCCCATATGCTACGCTGCTTGAATCTCTCCCACCCTTACCCTGGCTATTCAGAGTCACCCCATCTGGGGCTCCAGGGGACCCCACCACGTGCTGTTCTGTCCTGTCCCCACAGGTGACACTGGCAGATGTGACTCTGACGTGCATAGATCTGATGTCCCAGGCATCAGCCATGTGACTTGTCTCTGACCATCTCCTCTGTCTTCTCAGAAACAAAACCAAGACAACCATGGGCCCCCACATCCAGCACGCAAGTCCCTTCCCTCCCACCTTATTCCCTCAGCCTCAGCCATGGGATTTCCCTTATGGACATCCTAAACCTCTATTCAGCGGGACAAGAAACCTGCTTCATGGACCTTTCCTCATCTCTGGCTCCCTTCTCTTATCTGTTATGGGGTAAATTGTGCCCTCTACTGAAACTGTTCATATCCTAACCCCCGTCCCTGTGAATGTGACCTTTCTTGGCAAAGCCATCTTTGTGGCTGATCAAGATGAGATGAGGTTACTTGGGCGAGCCTAATACAGTCATTCCTTTATCCTTAGAAAAAGGAGGCATCTGGGCTCAAACACACACACACACACACACACACACACACACACACACACACTGGGGTGGGAGGTTGTCAGCCCAGCAGAAGCAGGGACTGTGTGCAGTCTCTTCCTCCCAGACCCCCAAGGAGCCAACTTAATGTGGGTCTTTATTACTAGACCTCAGGAAAGGAAACAGTTCCTTTTCCAGTCTTCCTCCTCCCTCCTCTTTCTTTCCCTCAACTCTCCTTCTCCTTGTCCTTCCCTTTTCCTCTCTCCCCTACCCTGAATCTCCCTGACTCTCCAGTCTGGGCTGGTTCAAACACTTTCTCTCCTTCACATTGCCATAGTGAGGCCTTTGTAGCGATAACCAGGCGCCACACATACATGCCTGGCTGTGGTGCTCATGCATTTGTAGCCAATGGCCAGAATGCAAGAGTATGGTCACGAGTTCTTATCCTCCATGTCCTGTATGTGCCAAGTGAGCTTGGCAGCTTTTCTATGTGACTCCCAGTCCTGAGTTTTTGAGCTCACACCCTCCAGGTGTTGCTTGCACAACAAACTGGGTTCAAACCCTGGGGAACACAGTGGCTGACTGTGCAACCTCCGGCAAGCACCATAGCTACAAATGAATGAGACCTTTAGTCCGGGGTCATGAGCTGACTGTCTGTGTCAGGGACTCCCTGAAGGACTGGGTCTGGCTTGCCTCTGGACTGTGGTTCCATCTCTGGTGGCAGAAACACCAGGGCCAGTTAGCAGAGATGTCCCCAACTAGCGTCCCAAAGATACTGGCATCATTCACTCAACCTGAGAGCAGGATGGTGGAGAGGAACTGAGTCAGGTGGCTCTGGGGCTTTCTTGTGGGGGGTTTCCTTCAGCGGCCTGTTTTCTCACGGGATAGCCTTTTCTTCTAAGGACAGACATTTCCAGATAATGGCCTTCAGGCTCAAGAGACCGAGTGCCCAGCAGGAGGCTGCAGGAACAAGCTCATCTCCTGTGGTTGCATCCAGAGGGGACCTGGAGGGCAGGCCCCTGGTGTTGCCTGGGTGGGCTGACTCAAGTCAACACAAAGATGTTTGATCACTCCTGTTCCAGAAAACCATGGGAGGTGGGATATGCATTTCCGCTACATGTGGGGTTCACGCCAGCAGGTCTAGCTTGGCTTCTTCCACTGTTTTAGTCCAGAGTTTCTCTTGTCCCGAAGTTCAACCAGAATTCTTTCAGCAATAACGCACTGGCCAGGTGAGCAAGCTTGGGGGGGCTAGGGGAGTGGGGGGCTGGAAAGTGGGGGGCTGGCGAGGAGGGGGTATCCTGAGCACTGGCACCATACCACATTCTCAATCAATTTTGCCCTCCTGGGAACCCTTGGCTCCTTTGCATGACAGGGCCTTTGCACGCCCTCTCCAGCTGTTCTGCTCAGTTCTTGGGTTTTGTAGCATTTCAATCTCTGGAACCCCTTAAGCCAAGCTGTTGAGTTCATAGAATGAGCATCCGGTCATGCCATCCTTTCTCTGAGCAATGGGAATGCACGCTGTTCCTTCTGTGCCAGGGCACAGAAGACTCAGGAAGAATCAGACACATCAGTTAGAACCTCAAACATCTTAGCCTGCCCTTGGAACTCAGGGGGCTTTGAAGGTTTCACCTTATCTTTATTCCTCAACTTCTGAGAACAGCAGTCCACGTCTGCCCTGGTAAAGAAAGCAGAGTGAATATACCATTCTCTCTCTCTCTCTCTCTCTCTCTCTCTCTCACTCTCTTTCTCTCTGCCCCCCTGTATGTGTGTGTGTGTGTGTGTGTGTGTGTGTGTGTGTGTGTGTGTACATGTGCATGAAAGTTGGCAAGTATACAGTTGAAACGGACCTTGCAGATAATTGCATTGGCTGGCTATGGAGTCAAAGGTGGTGACGAGGCCAGCAAACACTATTGCTAGTATCTGGAAGATGAATTACCCAAGGCTTGGAGGAGGTTTGAGGATAGAAGATGAATTATGTGACCAATATATTAGATTTGCAGTATCTAATAATGGTTCCTTAGGAAAAGAATACTGAAGCCCAGATGAGAGTATTAATATTGTGCTATCTGCATGCAATCTTAAAATATTATTGACTCTCTTTGTGCCAGGCATGGGACTGGGCTTGGAGGTTAAAATGATGAATAAGATGTGGCCAGTAAGATGGGTCCATAAATAACCAAAACTATGTTCTGAGAATGATCATAGAAGTAAAGACAAGTTAATATTGGAGGAAATATGAAGAAAGCAGAACCCAATGGAAAGGTCTTTTCTCCAAGCCTGGAAATGAGCTGCAAACAGGCTACTTCCTTTCTCCCTCCGTCGTCTGGTAGAGTTAATATAGCTCAGGAAAACTTGCTTTCTTGGTGTCTGTTTGTGTTGAAATTTCAAAAGTGATTTTTAGTCGTGTATTGATAATAAGTTAAAGTATGCTCGATTCCAACACGGAGGCCGCTTTCCATTTGATTCTGCTGCATAGTTACAAATCTTAGAAGGACGTTTCAGTGACTCTGGGGAGAAAGATAACTCTGTTATGGCTAATACGGTCATTATTTACACAGATTTCCCTGATGGGTCTCTGGTGCATGGATCTAGAAGGAAAATTGTCTGTTTTTACCAGCTCCTTCTAAATGCCAGTATTCTGATATCGTGAGGAGTTCTAGCCTGGTGGATCTGGTTCCTGCGATCTCTGCAATATGAATTCAGGAAAATGAATAGAGACAGAACTGAGGGGGGCA